GATGAAGAAACAATCAACGAACAAGATCTCACGTTCTCTTCAAAAACTCATAAAGTCAATGTTTAGACATAAACAGTCAAACGCATCGTTTAAGGCATCTCAGGGAGTGGACATGGACAAATATTACGTCGTTTTTGATAAGACGGGATCGCTCACGACCATTCCCGAGTCGGGAGAGTCAACGGACGTGGCTGGCTCAGAGACCAACTCCGTTGTTAGGAAAACCGTGTCCGAACGATTCGCGCCGAGTCGACTCGTTGGTATATCTTGTTCTTGATCATTAGTATTACATGATGATATTATTTATTGATGGGTTAACGGAATTAATATTACTACTATAGAGATATTATTGCGAGGTTAATAAAACATTTTCTTGTTAAAAAAATTAGTTGTATTAAATTAAAATCAAATATCATTTCCGGTTCATTTTCAGTTAGTTATGAATTGGATTTATTTACATCAAAAGATAAGATTTATGATTTTATGTACATCAAAAAGATTATATATATCATCATACAAGAGTTATTTACATCAAAAAGATTAGATCATAGAAGAGTTATCTACATCAAAAAGATTAGATTATACTAAAGATTATGTCAATCTTAACTAGTCTATAGTCTACGTAGACTATAACTATAGACTAGTTAAGATTGAAGGAAGAGGACTATATATACCTTAAGAGCTCTTCTTCTTCATGCTAATGTCTAACAGACCCAATTGATTTGTGATTGCTTAAACAGCAAGAAGAAGGATCTTGCGGTTACTCTGTGTTTCCTCTACTGTCATGCAGTTTCTCTTCTTTTTGTTTCTCCATCGAACATTTCTTATCCTTTCACAAGTACGAGGTTGTGTCTTGAAACTCCACCAGTTGCAGCTAGATGCATCAGAAACATCCTCCTCCTCCTCTGTCTCAGATTCTTCAAGACAAGGAAGAGAATCTTCCGATTCAGAAACATCCTCCTCCTCCTCAGTCTCAGCCACTTCGAGAAGAGGAAGAGAATCTTCCGATTCGGAAACAATCTCTTCATTAGCAGTATCAGCTCCCAATACGGTTTGGTTCAAATCAGCTTCAGAGATACTCTTTTCTTCTTCCTCCGTCGGTTTATCAGCATCATTATCTTCTTCCGCTTCAGTATCACTCTCGATTTGGTCACAAGCGCTTTCCTTTCCTTCTCTTCTCTCGCCTTGACTTGAGTCGGAGTTCTTTTTTGGTTCCTTGGGATTTCTTTTACGTTGGCTGCGTTTTCTCTTTGGAATCTCTTGATTCTTTATGTCCAAAATGTGAGGAATCAGACTGCTTTTTTGGATAATTTCTTGATTCTCATCTCTGCTTTGTGTTTCACTACTCGTCTTATTTTTCATTCCACTGCAACCGCCTTGTCCCTCCATGCCTTCTACTTGTTCAGATTTTGACTGAGGTTCACAATTGTTGTCTAACTCTGTGCATCATCCACATTGATTAAGCTTGAAGATTTGTGGCCAATATTAGAACTTCCTGCAACCGCTCCAACTGATGTAGATTCCATGTGCTCCTTGTTGTGATTCACTCTTTTCTTCCGGACATACTTCTTCTCAAACAATCTGTCTTCTCGACAACCATCAGAAGGATCACCGTTGGGTTTAGCTACTTCAACAACATTCGCTGATCCTGCTAAACCTCTTTGTTGCATCACCTCTCGGTTACTCTGCAGCTCTTCAGGTAACCCAAACCAACTTCCTCCATGATCCACATCCCCATCTTCTCTCTGCTTACCTGCAATTTCATCTCATCTATAACATCTACCAAATGCATCTCTATGAATAAACCATCATTCAATCCTTTTTCTCTTACATGTATACTCCTCTGCTGCAGCCACCAGTTCCTCAGATCCATTAGCCTGTGACCCTTCTCGATGAAAAGCAACCGATGCTGTGTTTGCCAGAACCAGCAAATCATCAAAAGACAATGGTTTGAGAGTCTCACACAAGCTGTTTCCAACAAATCTTTTGCATACTCCAAGACCAGACTCATTGACTCTTTTGTTAAAAGTTTTGTCCAATTCAAGAC